CTCGGCTATGTTGCAGCCGTGACAAAGATAAATTACAGCCAGTGTAAAACTTTTTTTTTTCTACGACTCTCTCTCTCTCTGTATTGCCACACTTTATTTTTTATTTTTTCCCCATTTTTTGTTATTTTTCTTTTGTGGCAAAGGATTGGGTGAAATCCAAAGGTGGGCCACACCAAAGGGAGATGGTGTAGGCCACGGCGTGGTGTCTTTCATATTATTAGCGTATAATAAGCTTCTCATTCAACATCTACAGGCCGCATACTGTGTTTTATATAAATAATAATATGAAATACTCTTACATCTGAATTTTTATGCACACCTTAAAACAGTACACAGTAAACTGTGGAGCATTCGGTTTCTTTATCAGTTATAAAGCAAAAAGAAACACATGTAAGTTATGGCTCCTTTCTGGAACTTATCTTTAAAAACATGGAAGCACTCTTTTTACTGTCCTTGACTCTAAACATAAATTTTTGAAGCTCATTCTGTTGCGTTCAATCTGATGTGAACTCGCCAATGTTTAGACAAAGAAAAACAAAACTCCTCTAGTCTAAATGTTTCTCTTTGTCTTATCATTTACAACACTCACTCCTCCAGCCTCCTTGCCTCCCAGGTCTGAGCCCCTCACCCCCACCCCTGCTCTTTCTCCCTGTCCAAATATTTCAGGGAAAAGGCCTCAAGTATGGTGGAGGTGTTTTGGGTGTCTCTTTAGGTGGGCTGCAGCTGACACCATGGTTTATGTGGTCAGCGCTGCTGAGCACAGACCACCCAGCAGGCAGCTGTTGCCACAATGACCAACAGGCCAGGCAGGAAACAGGAAACAGGAAGAAGCAGACGAAGAAGAGGTAGGAGAAGGCAGGACGTCCTGTTAATCTAGATTAGTGTGTTAAACGCGACATCACCTAAAGCATCACCCACTAAGGAAGGGACCCTCATCTGAGGCAGAACAGGCTGCCGCTCTACTCTCAACTGAGCTCATATAAACTTCCATTTCCCAGACTGTTTTTTCTCTCCCTCTGTGCATCTCCTTTTTTCCTCAGTTAGCTTTTTCAGCCCTCACAATTACACTGTTTTTCAGACTGCTCCATCCTCCTAGACATCAAACCCCTACCCTCTTCAGTGTGAGAATAGAGAAAAAGAAACACATGCATTTTCATTTGACTCTACACCAACAACGGCCTCACAAAACCCAGGAAAAAGGGAACACAAACACATCTGATGCGCAAACTGACAAAGACAAGACACAAACGTGAACACACACACACATGACACACAAAGAAGCTGCAAATACACAAAGCACAACACAGCCAGAACTCTACTTTATGCAGAAATATTCTAAAATCTGTTTTACAATACTATTAAACATCAAAGGCAGTTATATTCCTCTGTGATCTTTAACACCCCAGTGAACAAACTCTACTCTAACACACACACACCCACTAACAGTGCACACACTTACACAAAGTTGCTTAACGTCACAGATAATAATTAGATGGAGACAGAAGAAGACTTTGCATCGTTATGCAAAACCAGGACACATTCAAATACATGCATTTCAGGCCAGCAGCTGTTCAAGGACTGTGTTATTTACAGGTTTTTTTTTTTTTGTTTGTTTGTTTTTTTAAGTTTCACGGGTAATCGCAGCACTTACAAGGACACACACATACACAGACAGTGCTCCTAAGGCAAAGAAACATTTGGTAAACATTTTTAACATGCACAACAGTCAGGACAATGAAAAGGAGATCTGTTCAGAGCGGGTAAATAAACACGCAGTGAGGGCGAGCCTGATGCTTTTCATTGGCACTATAAAATTTATGAAAACAAAAAAAGGAGTGTTTTCCTTGCTGTGAAGCAAGAGTGAACACCTGCCTTACGCAATAAACTCCAACACCACAAGCCCTTGAGTTATTATAAAACTTAAGTATTTTCATCTGCTTATAAACAGGAAAGAAACAACTTATTCTAACAAATTTCCCACAAAAAAAAAAAAAAAAAGACAAGCTTCTGCCTATTCCTCTACGGCTGCATGTTAGGTTTAATAACATTTTAATGAAAGTATTGGTACTATGATATTTATACTACATTCGGGATCCTCCCCCTAACCGAATCAAATGTTTCACAGATGAGAAGGAAAATTGATTCTCATTTCAAATCCTACATTCATTTTCCTTTTCACCTGTAGGACACCAAGTCCAATTTAGAGTCCTTCAATAGCTACCTCAAGATCTTGCCAACATGCAATCTCGAAATGGGTCATTTACTAACGTTTAACTGAGCAAACTTTGCAAAACTCCATCTTCCAAAATATTTGAAACCATTAACGCAAAAAAAAAAAAAAAAAAATCTAATGCACAGCACAAAGGGCTATTAAATTATTTGATTAAACATCAATACTTCTGATGTTCCCATCAAGAAAATGTTTTCATAGATCTGATTAACTGAACCTGGAGACGTGCCTTCTGTGCTGTACCAAATGTCTGTGGTCCGAGGGAAAGGACAGTCGTGTACTTTACCTTTTTTTTTTTGATTTGATGCAACGGTGGTACACATTTAGACAGCACTCAAAAGCCAATTTCCCCTTTTAATGGACATGCTTGTCCCTGCTTGCCAGTAGAACCAACTATTCATGCAATTAGGGTTAATATATTAGGTACTGACAATGAAATTCCCGACGACAACCCTGCTTTATGGCAACTTTGTCTCTTAAACACACGTGAAAACGCCTGTCTGTGTCCCTGTCCTTCATTTCAGCAAAGCTCCACTGAGCCCCTGGTGTACAGCAAAGTGCCCCTGACAATCGGCTCAATGCTCTGGCCAATCACAGGGACACGTGACCTTCTAATCTCTCTGTGTGAGCAGGGGGAAGAGTGTGCTGTCACACTGTTGGTTTTGTGAATCAGCGTCCAAAGAAACTCAAATGATTTGGAGAAAAATAAAGAGAAGTTGAAAGAAAAAAATTAAGCGCAGGCCCCAAAACTGTGTGGGTGTGAGTGTGAGTGTGTGCAACGGAAGGGAAGAGAAAGGAAAGGGACAGAGTGTGTGACAGTCCAGATGCATTTGTGTGTGTTAGCGTGCCACTGCATACATGCAGGAGCATGTGTCTGTGCATGTGTGTGTGTGTGTTTTTGCAGGGTGATTATACAGCTTGGCTGAGAGAGTCCTCTGTGTGTAATCGTAAGTTCACATGCGAGTGCTCACCTTCCTCTGAGCAGATTAACCAAACGCTAAATCCCAAGAGAGCAACAGGCCAGACAGAACAACTTCATTGACGATAGATTGAAGAAGGGAAGGCCATGTGTAAAAAAAAAAATCTTTTTATGGACTCGTATACTTTTATTATTTGTAATCAGTAAACAGGTCATATAAAACCGCATAATGGATTATAAAGAGTAATGAAGAAAAGTGTAACTCTAAATGTAAAAAACAAATTGATCCTAAATGTCCTGTACTTTTAAAGGGTTCTTACTTTATAATATAAAATGCAATCAAGCAGTAAATGACTTAATGTATGCATTTAGTGACAAAGCACTGTGATGTCTTTGTTTATTTCACAAGTGCCATCAAAATGTCTAAACTAATAAGGAATGTTTTCAACATAATAGCTCTTTGAGGAAATATTGGACTTTAAGAAACTGCAGCCAGCTGGGTGTAAATGCCAATTAAAATAAAATAGACAATATAGTTTAAGAGCTTGAATTGACATTTGTAAATTTAAAATAAAATTACACAGAGATTACCTTTAATGCCTATACTTATGAGCACAAGTTTCATGCACACAAATGCAGTCAACATCGCAATTGCTCTAAATTAAAACTAAGTGTGTAGTAAAAAAAATTTAAATTACATCTCCATCCTTACTGCATCATACCACACCTCCAATCCAGGCAGATTGCAAAACAAATAAATTGATTTTTTTATTATTCTTATTATTATTTCCGAAGACACAACCCGGGAAGGTTGTCACAGGTTAATTATGGTGTCATTGATAATACTCTGACAGCAACAGGTTTATTCAGTCCCATTAGACTAAAGTAAACTGACTGTAAAAATAAATATTACACCCATCAAACTGGAGTGAAAATAGTTCTGAAGTTATTTCAAAGTCGCAGAGGAAGAAATTAAAATTCAGCGTGAACACGCAAATCCCTGATTTACAGTAGTTTTTTCAGTGTGTCTCTGGTCGGCATGAATTAATAGATCTGGCTACACACTCCACATAAAATTATCAAAATTATCAAAAAGAACAACCCTCGGTATTTTAGAGTACATTTATTTATGATATTGTCTGTCTTTTTTATTGACTCCACACAATGACAATTGTCATCACTGAACTCCTAAATCACAAAATGCCAAAGTCTTAACATTGACTTCCTCAACATAAGAAATATTGACTAAGTACTTTAAAATATCTCAAATATTAAATGAGGGACCATAAATGATTTAGTTTAAATTCCTTGAACTTTTGTATCCATCCCACTTTGCTTATAGTTGTCAAAGTTTATGAAATTTTTATAATTTAATCAATTTATCCAACTTTTTTGTGCATAATACTGAACATATGATGTGTTATAATAAAGCAAGGCCGTCTGTGGAGTGAGTGTGCGTCAGCATGTGGACATGTGAACGCTCCACAAGGTCGAGAGCTAAAATAAAAAATAAATAAAAATATAGTAAAACAAAAACAAAAAAATCAGCAGAAAACACTAAGCTTACCTAATTGAGCATAAACACATATTTATTGTCAGCCTGTAATTATATCCTATGACACAGCTGTCACCGGGATAAGTCGATCAGGGTCACAACAAATCAATAAGACACACTTACTTTACTTAGTTGTAGGAGTGAGAGGCAGCGCGCATCTAAAATAGAAACACCCAAGTTTATATTTCCCTCCCTGGGAGCCTGAGAATGAGCCTGACCGTGCGGCGTCCTGTTGATGTTGGGGTTTGTTACACTGAATGAGTGGATAAATAAAGTGGAGTCAACGCCGTACTTACTTTGTTTTACTCGCTTGATATCGCGTCCCAGGCTGGAGTGAACTGTAGAAGGGGAAAGACGAACAGCGATCCGCCGGTTCTTTCTTCAGTTGGGTCCGGCTGCGTGTGACAGGAAGGCTGCGACCGCTGCGTGATGCTGACGGACTTGGCCAAGACTCTCTTAAAATCCAGGAGCGCAACTTCGCAGAGGGGAAAAAAAGAGTAACGTACAGTACGAGGTGGGAGTCTCTATACTGTCAGAGAAAACTTCTCTCTCTCTCTCTCTCTCTCTCTCTCTCTCTCTCTCTCTCCCTCGCTCTCGCTCTCTCTTTCTCTCTCTCTGCGTGGTGCCACTGTGCGCAGAAGGAGCCGGCGGTGGGAGCAGCCGAGCCGGAGCAGCAGTTGGCGCTGACGCTGTTTGTTCTTCCTTCACTTCGCTGGACGGTCTGGGGCTTGTGGCTGGCGTTTATGTCTAGAAGCTATTTTCCTATATTTCCTAGTTTTTCACCCCAACTGACACAATGTCCTCCTGACCGAGTCTTCCCTTGCTGAACACTCACTCCAGTTGCAGGCGAAATAATCGATTTCCTTCTCTTCCTCCTTCTCTCCCTCCCTGATCGCTCTCCTTTTCTTTTCTTTTTTTTTTTTTTTTTTTTTTTCCTGAAAGGGGGGGGGCTCACGTTTCCCCA